TTCATACTAAATTATTTTGAAAATTGATTAATTTTAGTTATAAAATATTGTTTTGAAACTTAATATTCAAAGTTTATAATTATAAAATTTGTTGGTCTACTAAAACTAAATTTGTATTTAGTAGAAAATTTCTTAAACATTACCTATTTACTAATTTACTAAACTTATATAAATTTGTGAAATTTTATGAAACTAAAAAATATCCTTTTTTTTACTTTTAACTTTTCTCTTCCTTTAAATAACATCGGAATTCAAACTATTTACAAAAAATAATTTACTATTTACATTTATTTATTAAATAACAAATAACTTCCAGTTATTATTTGAACTAGGCATCCAATAATTGAAAGAAACGATGGCTCACGTAGAAATTTATACTGTATATAAGATAAAATGGGATCTGAATCCAGTCTGAATGGACATAATTGATATGCTAGAGTTTATAATTTATGCTATTTGTTTATTATCATTAAAAATGTTTATACTATGTAATGTTAATTACTTAATTTATAATTATCATTCAGAAAACAGTGATGAATGGAATAAGGAATAATAGAAGTAATCTAATAAAAATTTCCACAAATATAGAAATTTCTAACATCATCAATTATCAGATATCGCGGGTAAAAAATATTAATTCTCATAAACATTAGCACAAAGATGACAGTTCTGAAGTTAAAAATAATCGATATGCTTGAATATTTATTGAATGAAATTTTAGTTAGGATTAGTACTGACGAGATGCTGATGTTGTCTAGTGTTTGAAATAGTAAATTCTTCAAAAGTATAGCACGATGAAAACTATTTTATGAAATTTTATTTTATCTAACTTTACTGTAATACGTGTCATTCGATTCAACACGAAGAAAAATACATGCTGTTTGGTCGTATTATTTATTTATTTAGCGTATGGCTACACATCTAGTTAGTAAAAAGAACAAAGCAAATAAGAACACAAATCATACTAGGGCCCTTATAAGGGCCTTTGTAATGAGGAGATATATAAAGTTTAGTTAATTGAAAAGTTCGGTTAAAAAGATGTGTATTGTCCAGGAGATCCTAAGGATTATTTGGATGCCATAAGTTGCTAGTTTATTTAGTTCACGAACAGACGTTATCCAGGGTGCACCACGAGGAGACGAACTAGCTTTACATCCCTTTGGTCGTAATATAAACCTTTAAACATCTTTAAAAGAACATTTTCTAAAGGTTATCCTGGTATGTTAAAATTTCCATTCAAAAATTATTAAATATATAAATTAATTAAAAATAAATAAATTCTACATATAAATAAGATATAAAAATAATTTATACTTAGACCAACATCATGAAAAGTATTGATAAAAGTACATAAATATCCCAAAACTTTAAAACATGTTTTAATAATTGATCACTAAATTTTATAATAATTTATCTTGTATTATACAAAGCAACTTGATTATTAATTAATTAAAAGATATGTATCTTCCACTAATAGTACAACCAAACCAGTAAAAGTTTTATTATTAATTTACAATAAATAGAAAAAAAAAAAAATTAAATATATATTTTCAATTGTTGAAAATTTGTAGATTCATATATATGCAAACAAACTAAATATACAATATTACAAACTAAAATATTAAATAAACAAATTAATCTTTGTTTCATATTTGACAAATATGATCTTATATTTAAAGAAAATTTATGAGTTAACTTTATAAACTTTATATTTATATAAAGAAAATTATTTTTTTATAATTTTTAAAGTAATTCTTACAAGAAAAAAAATGTTTACATATGTCTATATACAGTATAATACTTTCAAAAATTTCTTAATTAAAAACTTAATCCTATTATTGTAGTAATAAAACATCTATAATATTGATATATATATGTTTAAAATTATTTATTACTGAATTAGTAATTTTTTGTTTCTAAATCTATATTCATATAATATTTAATAGATTTTAACCTTTTAAAAAATAACTTTACAATAGATAAATCAAGCTTTTTGGTTTAAAACTTCATATTAACTGCTTTAATATAGTTGAATATGACGTTTATTACATGTTGTTATAATGACAGTCGTGTATTATATTGATCTTTAAATAATCTGTCTTATATTAGATAAATATATCCACTAAATATATAATTAATTATATAATTGTTCTATTAATAACTTAATTAACAAGCATTTTGTAGTAATATTAAATGAATACAAGTACATAAAAGTCTAAACTGATAGTAAAATTAAAAAATTAATAAAACAACACATTCAATCTCACTTATGTTATTGAAGAGAGATAAAAATTATTAATTAGACAGTAATTTTATATTGAAATATTTTTATTTCTCTACTTAGTAAAACCATTTAAAAATTATTACGTTAAAATTTCCATTTTCACTTCTAATTCAATAAAATCTAAACTTTTTTAAACTGTGTTAAAACTATTTTTAACTGTAGGCCAAAAAAGTCTTTATCACTATTAATAGATGTAGATTTATTATAAATTACAATTTTGATTTTTCAATGAAACATTATTATTTATCTGAATTTATAGAAAATTTAATAAACAGTTGTCAATTTTGTTTCTGCTGTACAGTACATTACCAATTGAATGAATTCTCAAGTTCTAGAAATTTCATAAAAATCAAGCAATATAAGATTAGATTAGTACATAATAAAGAATATCAAAAGCAGTTTTATAAATCAAATGTCACTTTACATTTTAGTAAATGAAAAAATTTTATCCAATATGTATTCATTATAAAATGATAAATTATAAAATTATCACAAAACAAATATAATAATTATTATTAATCTTAAAAATTATTTTAATAAAAGAAAAAACAAAGTTAATAGCAGAAACACTATCAAAAGTAATTTCGATAATTTTGTATACAACAATCAAAAGTAAATAAGTAAAATACTTATTTTGAAATTTAATTTTTATGATAGATAACAACCATATAATATACAATAATCTGTGCAAATACTATGTCATCAACTTCCACTATCTGTAATACTTATCACGTGATTCCCTAACTTAGTTCCACTAAAATAAGATCTCAGAAACAGATTCTGAATATCGGAAAGAATATCATATCTTTTAATATAATAAATGACATTATATTTCAACTTCACATGTATGGAACTAAATATTAAAGATACACAATTATCTAAGTTGGAAGCACCATTCAAATTTAATATATTTTTTTCTTAAATGCCACATCAAAACTTATGCAATGTGGTCCTTTAAGAAATTTGATATGAATTAAATGACATGAGTGTTATTAAAACAAGAACTATAAAAAAAGAAAAAACAAAGTTATTCTATAAGGACAAAAGTAGACATATTTATTTCATAGGCTAGTGTAACTGATGATACTATTACATAATGATGTAGTAAACAATGTCTTGGAATGAAGAATCATTACAAACAAATATGAAAAATATAATTATTATGATAAAAACTTTTATAAAACATTCAATATTCTATAAATTAAAAATAAATTTCTTAACAAAATTAGCATACAAAGTTACAAATTCAACCACCCAACTACACCTTAAGTTGGAGAGAAAATTTATTTATTTATTTTTGGCCCATTTGATAACCTGAGGATGGCCTATAGAATAGGCTGAAAACTTTAGTTACATTTAAATAAATTTTCTCGGCAACTTAAGGTGTAGTTGGGTGGTCTGTTATTTGCCAAGTGTGTTTTGTCAATTACAAATTAATTTCTGAAAAATGCCAACACACACATACTGTTACAATGTTGTATAGTAGTATTAAGAGGCTATTCACAAAAATCTGCAACTCAAAAGCCACTTTTATCATCATCATCATCAGTTGCAAAAATGTATTTTGGATTGAAAAAAGTCATCAAACCTGTATATAATTTAACACAAAAAATGAATAACTCAAAATGTTAGTAAATTGATAAATTACATTACCTATACAAGTTATTTACAAGAAATAAACTGTATTTTTTATTGAAAACATATTAATTTTTCAGTTTTTCATAGAAAATTCACAAAATAAATAATATAAATACAAATTAATATAAAAAAAACATATACTGTATAGTTTTATGAATTGTTTCCTGAGAATTTCTAATATTGCTGCAAGGAATGAATAAATTTATAAAAAAGTTATATCCTATAGAAATATAAGGATTTAAGGATCCCATAAATAATACATTTTATCAATTAAATATAAAAATATAATTATAAATACTTTATATCATACTTTAAGCCATTAGATGGATAATTGTTTTGGCTTGACAATCCTACAAAAGCATATCCATAGAGTTATACAAGTTTACTTTTAAGCTAGGCATTTTTATAATTAATTTTTAAGTAATTAACGTTTAAATATAATGAACTAATCGTATTTTGTGTTTAGAATAAATTAGACAGAAGCGAAAGCAATAGAACTTAAGTAATGTTATCGTAGAAAGATACCACAGAGATCGGTTAATTTCTTTACTAATCGGCTAAACTTAGGTTATAAAAGGTGGAAAACGGTTTAAAATTGACTTATTAATTAATTATCAAAAGGACAAATTACAATTTAAAATATTTCGTCTCGACAAACGGACGATCAATAACGACTTAATACGTTACCGTTCAGAAATGGCAATTCACTACTTTCTAATCCATCCGAGTCGATATTATGTGTATTAGAAGGTAATAAAGTATAGAAATTGACTTAAAGATTGTATAAAAGCGTTATAAAAACGGCGAGAAGAGGAGAAAAACATCTTTGACTTAAGCCTAACACGCCGCCATTGAAGAGAGAATAAAAACTGGAGGAGAACGCATGCGTGCGGAAACAGGAACTTCCGCCGGAGTGGGAGGAGTTTAGTGGAGCCGTTCTTCCTTTTAGGTTAATGATTGACAAGTGGGCGGTCTCGTAACGTGACCCGTGTGCCGTACGACAATTGGCCATCTCTGGCGGTGACGTAAGAGCCGCACGCTCATCTTTTATGGCGAACTTTAGATGACTGGCATTATACGTACAACCCACTTGAGTCGTTTGGTTGCTTGTGTGTGTGTGTCAAAAGTATTCCCAATCAAAACAGTCAATTACTGGTGCGGGTTATAGATACAGTGTGTGTTTTATGGATCTAAATGTATATGTGCTGCGTTGAGACGTTTGCGGTTTCGTGACAGGGTGTTGGTGACGTACGTTTTTGTGTCTTCAAAGGCATGGACGACCAACAAAGAATGATGCATCCTGTATCGCAACATCCATCTGTGAGCATGGCCGGGCATGTTGTGCCCCAACACGGTTATGGCATCCCACCACAAACACATACTGTGGATCCTACGTCTCAACAGCCACAACCCGACCAAGAACCGCGTAAACACGATATATCGGAGATCTTACAACAGATCATGAATATCACAGACCAGAGCTTAGACGAGGCGCAAGCGAGGTAAGCGTAACACCCGCGCCCGTAACCGGTGTGACGTTAGGTGTACACTCAGTAACGACAGTTTTATATTATTTCGCAGGAAACACACGTTGAATTGTCATCGTATGAAACCGGCACTGTTCAGCGTTCTTTGTGAAATCAAGGAGAAAACAGGTTAGTCTGCTGTAAGCCGCCATGTTGGCTGCTAGTCGGTTCTTCCATTGTTTCTTCGCCGGCAGGTAGACGTAATGCGGACGGCGTTCGCCACTTCCGTTCGCCGTCGACTTTTCGGAACTCGTGTACGCGCTACCGGGCCACCCCCCGACGCGATTAGCTTACGTACGAATGTGCACGCGCTCCGATTCCATGCGCCACCCCCTAATCACATTCTTGTCCCTCGTATAAATTCGTAGGGCTCGAATTTTACCATCACCACACCGTCTTAAATTTTTTTCTTATTTTTATCTCACCATTAAGTCCTTCTAGTGTTATTTCTGTGTCGTAACTCTCGTGCGTACGCAATTTTTAATTAAAAAAGAAAAATATTATCAAAAGCGTACTTGTATACGTACCTGTTGCAACAGATGCGTTCGGTATTCTTAACGCCAAACTTTTGTCCCAGTCGTGTTTTTGTCGCTAGCGTTTTAATATGTATATATATACATACATACATATATAAATGGCAACACGGCCTACAGCTGTATCGTTACGTTCACGCGTGGGGCGCTTATAAATATATATACACTATATATATAAATAACATATAGTAATCGCCAGATATTAAGCCCATCACTCCCTACTTACAAACTATTAAAAGGAGGGTTAAGTTAGTTCCACTAATTACTCCCCGTTTAAACATCCATTAAGAGCAATAAATTCGTGAATGAAAAAAAGCAAAGAAAAAGTGAAACAAGTTAAAAGGGATGCAAAATGCCTAGTTTTAATGTCGCTTTTGTCACCCCGACCCGCAGAAGTTTGTGTTGCGCCCTTCCATTCTTGTGAACGTCCCCGCTTTGTATATGCTTCTACTCAACTCAGCTGTTTTGGCGTCATTCGGGGGGACTTAAATATTGCTTTTAACTTTCTTTGTTTGTTTAATGTTAGTAAAAATAGGTTGTTGCAAATATATTTTAAAAGACGAAAAGAAAATAAGTATGTGTATATGTATGTGTATATATATATGTGTATTTTTTATTTTATTTTATTTTTGTTTTTTTTTCCTATCCCTTTGTTTCCGCCCCTCTCCCCGCCTAAAAATCTCTTACAAAGCAATCTAGAAAACAAAACATGGAAATATTTGGTCGAAATTTTTAGTTGAACAAAATCGTTTTGTCAAAACAGAAGCAATTCCAGTTTCTGATTTCTGCCGTTCCGGGCGCTTTGATCGCCTATACTACTGACTTTCTCTTGGATAAATGGAAATGTTCGTTTTATTCATTCATTCGGGTCTTGGATTCTTTCAACCGTTTGCACGAAATATGGAAGTTGTATTTCAGATGGACGTAAGGAAATACAAGAAAAATCTTTCGGCATGTGAATGAAATAGTTGATAAAAGTAGACCCCGTATATATGCCATACAATACATATACACATGCAAAAAAAAGTCCCCTTCAAACTTTCAAAAAATATTTTTAAAAAATACATTTTCTTTATGTTTACCATATAAGGAAATAATTTCCATATAAGGTTCTAATTATGCAGAATTTTAATAAAGCGTGATTTGTTCCGTTTGTTAAAAACGGAAATTTATTATTTTTTTATTGCCAATTATATAAAAAATGTATACATCAATATGTAAATTAATGTATAGTATCTATAAAATTTTTCCATTTGTTTTTAAATTTAAATGGATTATATCTGTAAACGGAAGGAAATATCTGGATGATATCCGTATTATTATATTTAGATGTCTATATTAAGTTATAAAATATATATATTCCGTTTCTGGATCAAAGAACGAAAATTAACCTTTTTTTTTTCCTATAGTAAAAAAAAGTTGTACGTAGGCCTATACGTTACTAGGTATTTTTAAGTAGAAAATTGTACTCTAATAAGAAAAAAAATGCGTGTTAGATGCGGATGAATTATTTAATATCTAAGAAACGTCCTGGTTTTTTGAGAAGAAAAAAATAAAAAGGAATAAATCGCAAAGGAGAAGAGCAAAATATGCAAAAGAACTAATTTTCGTGCGAATAAATAAAAATCAGATTAGATATGCTGACACGGGACCGATGAAATATTTGGGATGTTGATGGATGCATCTATAATGAAAATCCTATAGTCTAGTAAAGTTTGTAGTTCCGATCATCTCATTTCATTATGTGGGCTGACAGGTCTGTGCAATAACAGGAACAGAGTTCAGAGAGAACTCAGCGGGTGTTCTAAACCTACTTTCTGACTTCCTTTCCAAAACATTCAGGCCACGTATTGCCGATCTATAGCCTAGGCCGCAACCTATACGAACAAGGCCTAGTAGCGAGTTTTGTGGACGAGCAAAACGATCTAAAAATATGTACACGCCAAAGAGGATGAAATCAAAAATTTGCGTAACGATAACTGAAGTTTTTTAATATATACATATATAAAAAGAGACGTGATACGGGTTCGTCATTCGCTTCTCCCACGCTTTGTCACGTTAGGTTCACTTGTTGGACACACGGAGGGTGTTCAGATAAGACGATATCCGGGTGCTCTACCCACTTTAAATTCTCATTGTCGCACGTCTGACCACGTATAGAACAAAGTTAAACCCCGTACGAAGTTAGCGGCTCTTCTATCCGAGTGCTGTCAGATATAGTTAGCGACAACAGTATGCATAAAGATGGGGGCGCATTCAGTTCACTTTTGGATCCCACCTCTGGTCATCGCTTGATGACCTGTTCATCCATCATGGGTCCCTATATACGCCATCCGTGCTTCTGACAGCCTGTGCGTTACTGTATCCCTGTAGCATCAATTGTGGCTAACCTTAACAACTGCTGTGTTTGTTTACCGGCCAACCTTGTTCATTGTATCCACTTTACTTAGGTCACTCTATCTATGTTCACCAGTCAATAGATTCAAACCATTATGGAGTAAGTTTGACCTGTATCATTTAATTTACAGAAGGCTTTTCTATTCTCTAGCGATTGTTAAGCTACCAATTGATGTGGCGAATTTCCGTTCTATCAGCTAGTTTACTCGCTAAAGTACAAACAAAACTTTATGTAGTGGCGAATTGGCCTATAGGCCCTGCATTAAATTAGTTAATTCCTAAAATCGATCATCGATTCAAACGACTAATTCGATTTGTATCGGTTCGGCCATCTTTTAAATCGAATTATTGTATTCGATGTAATATCTAAAGTGTTCGACATTGTATTTAACCAACGATTATCTAAAAACTATTATTAATTATTATTATTATTATTTTTTTTTAAGTCTATAAGATAACTCGACAGGAAATATTAAGATAAAAAGCTTTAAGGTGAGATTATGTGTACAGGACGCTCGTAGGCCTTGATTTCTAAATGGAAAGAACGTCTAGATTTATAAAATTAGGTTGATATTTTTTACTATATTTAAAAATTTTTTTTTATCTTTCTATAAAGTTGCATTCAATGTAAAAACGTTTACACTTAAAAATAGCAAAGAGGGAAGTAGTGTGTGATGAATTATTGCGGTTGAATTTTCCTTGTCTGTCAAAAGATGTCCACTTGAATAACAACCATAGTGTTCATTGTTTCTAGTTGTGGGTCAATAATTAAGCATATATTACTGTCTTTCAAAGGCCATCACTGAATGACATATCTAAAAAAATAAAAAATTAAAAAAATGCGAATATATCTCTTAACCTTAAACTCGTTACTAATCATTTAAAATTGACGAATCAGTGACGAATACAGAAATTCAAATTCTTATTTTTGTACATTTCATTTCGTAGTTTTAACGGCCTTCAGCACTTAAAATGTTAAATGTTATGCAACTCTTACAATTTGTAAAATATTTTAAAATAAAATATTCTCCTTTATATCGTAAGATATGCATCGTTATAAGATAAGAATTTCACAAATTATGAAAATTCTCTGGTTACGTCACGAAAGTGAGTAATCCAATTCCCAAAATTTAAAGTGGCGAGAAAAGAAGAAAAAAAAGTAAGTTTAAGGATAAATATTTAAAAAGGAGTTTCATTAATATTTATCTTAACAAATTGATTGTTAAATCTCTTCAACTATTTAAGATTTTTCCATTTATAAATACATTGTTTATAATGACTCACGGCTTTATAAAAGATAACCTTAAATCTGTTAAGAAGGCCTTGGACCGTTGGATGTTTGTGAATAGACCTCTGAGAACTCATTTCTGACATAAACATCTGTAACCCCGATAACTAGTACGTCTTTAGAATTCAAAATACAAACATCATCATCTTTAGAAGGAAGGGCAATATAAAGAGAAAAAATTTCTAACTCACCTTTTAGTAAATTGTCCTAGACGAGGTTTTAACCTGTGACCTCTTCACTCCGAGAGAGATTTGACAGAAATCTATGTAGCGAAACCACTTCAGTAGGTGTTGGTTTTCAAGTTTAAATGATGCAAAACCAAAAGTAATGCTTTGGTCAAACTGATTTCTAAAGTAACCCAATGGCTCGAAAGGCTAATTTAGTTAGAAAAGACCCTTTTCTGATTGTTTTGATCTTTAATTTTTATGGCCTACAGAATATAAATTGCTGATTTCTTTTACTTTTTTCCTCCTCCTCCTCTGACTCTCTCTATGGTCCAAAGTTTAATGGGGAAGAAACGAGCGAAATGTAAAAATTTATCGTTCAACCATCGAAGAGATGATAACCACATTCGCGCTTATGATAGAAGATTTTTAATTGTTAAATTATAAAAAAATATGCTTTTTTAAGTTGCGTAAGAAACTTATAAAATTACCAATAAACTGAACTAAAGTCTAGTCTCATAGCGACAAAGGTTGAGATGATGTAAGATAACCCCTACGAGAACTGTATCGTGGTAACAGGGGGATGATATTTGTTTATCAGTTCATTTTCCTACTTGTTTCGGTTTTTGAATTATAATTGTGATAATGCTTGATGTTTCTAAAATAGTTTTTATAGCGATCAACAAGAGTGTTAAATTAGATACAATTTATTCCGCACCGTTTCTCCACAATCATCGTTTGAAAACA